CTTGTATGAATTTTGGCTGCTTTTATTCTCTGGATTTGCAGTCGTGCTGATCTCCTTGAGCACCTCCTTTTGTGCCCATTGAGGACTGGCTTGGAAAGCGCTGGCAAAGCCGGAGTTGACAAAGTCTGCAGAGTAATGCTTGGCACAGGAGCACCAGGTGGTTTCTTCTGTGGCTAGCCCAGATTCAGCCAAGAAGGAGATGCTATTGCAGATTGGAGTGTTTTATGCTAACAGGCCCAGTGGTTTATGTGTGCTCCTTAAGCAGCCTTAGACGGAAGCACCCTTATTACAGCCTGGTGCATGCACAGCCTGGGCTTGTGATGGCCCGACTCCGGTGTAGCTGCCCCGGTTTCCCCTGATGCTGTTTTGTCAGTTCCCTTTGTTGTTTCCCGCCTTCAGGTTCTTCCGGGTGTGACGTAGCTGCCTGGGCATGGAGAATGCCTGCTGTGGGTGGCTGAAACCTTGGTATCGCGGGGCTGCAGCATCATGTGGGAAAGGTGTTTGCTGCCCTTGTGTTCATTTTTCAGCTGCTTTATGTGTTCTCTTGTCCGTGCATTTTGTATCAGCTTCCTCTGTGAAAACAAATGGAGGCAGCCCTGGTTCAAGGTCAGGATGCTGAAACAACCCAACCAAAAAGTCCTCTTGCTGACTTAGCAAAACACTGGCCAAACCAGTTGCTCTGTCAGCTGAGCTTGATGTACAGGCCGTGTTTCAGCTGAAAGCTGCCCACAGTTCACTGCGCTCAAGACTCTTGTTTCACCAGTCCTGCCCCGTTTTATCGTTCATTTCAGGCCATGGAGAGGGAGATTGCTGCCGCATTTGCCGGGGGGGAGCCGAACGAAGTTATCAGCAGCGCCTTTAAAATTAACATCACACGTGAGGACATCTGCACGCTGAGGCGCCTCTGCTGGTTAAATGATGAGGTAAAACTAGCTGCAGCATAGTGATATTCTCATTCAACATTTATTTCAAAATACCCCTTCACTGTGTCCAGAAGTCCTGCCAAAGTTATTTGATGACCTCCGCTGCAGAGCCTAGAAGTAGCTGTACAGTTCTTATTTGAGGTACGCAAGGGCCTAGTGTTTCTGGAAGTTCCCTTACTTCTTGTACGATGCAGCTTCCAGGAGTTAGTCTGGGTTATTGGAGTGAATGGCAGGTGTTTTTCTCAAACTGCAAAAGTAAGCAAGTGCACAATTCTCAGCACAAAAGCTCAGAGCTGAGGCTGGAGTTCTCTCAGCTCTGTACTTAAGGGTGGCCAGCAAAGACCTGTTGCTGTATTTTTCTTTTGGTAAGCCAGTGTCTTATTTTACATCTCCAGTTTTCTCTTGATGCTACAGGTGATTAACTTCTACATGATGCTCCTCATTGAAAGAAGCAAGAAGGCAGGATATCCAACCCTGCATGCCTTCAGTACCTTTTTCTACCGGAAATTAGTGTCTGGGGGTTACCAAGCGGTGCGCAGGTGGACGAGAGGAGTAGATCTTTTTAAGCAAGACCTTGTCCTCGTCCCCATTCACTTGACAGACCACTGGACACTAGCAGTGAGTCAAACTGGCTTTTTATTTAGAATTGGATAGGGAGAAAAAACTATCCAGAAAAGTCATTTAGGCTTTGTGGTGTGTGCAGCACAAGGCTGTGCTTTGTCTAACAATCAGCTTTTACTACAGGCCATAGACATGCGAAAGAAGACCATCAAATACCTCGACTCACTGGGCCAAAAAGGGGACAAGATCTGTGCAACTCTGTTGTAAGTAACTGCTCACTCAACGCTTTGATGTTGTGAGTTATGAGAAAGTTTTTGGATTTGGTCCCTGCAATATGGCTGCAACTTTTTGCATTTCTTGGAGATCCAAAACACAAATCTCTGATTTGCTTGCTGCGAGTTGTGGCTGCTTGTCTAGTCTCATATCGTCCCCTTCACCCAGGGCCTTGGATGCTTTTCCAGCTGGATCCGCTGGCACAGCACACATCTCAGATGCAACGGGGACAGTCTCGGAGGATGTGCAAGCCAGCGTCCATAGATGTCTTTGCCACTGATGCGGCAGTAGTAAAAATCTGTAGCCCCAGAGCTTCGTAGAGCAAGCGCTGGAGAGCAGCCCCACAGGGACAAACCCAGTGTTGTTTTAGTCCAGTGCTCTCCTGAACAGTTAACAGCAGGTGCCTGGGACAGGGTGTAAGAACAGGTCTGCATAGAATCATTTTTTCCTCAAGAGTCTTTTTCCAGCATCTGGTGGCCTGGGAACTTCCTCAGCCAGAGCTATTAGCCCAAAAGCTTTTGTGTTTGTTCTTCCACAGATGCACCCAGTGTGGGGGATTAAGGCACATGGTGGAATTGTGGCATTGGGGTTCCTTGCTTGTTTTTTCCGTTCCTCCTCTGATAGCAAGTGATTTGGGGTTTTTCAACCTCTACCAAGCAACGAGCTCCTGCTTTTGTGGAAGTCTCTGTTGGAATTGTTGGTCTCGTTCCTGACCGGTTGGTCTCCTTCCTGACCATTACCTCACAGCCTCTCACAGTGTTTGTAAATTTTAAGATTTGGATTATTCCTCCATGTGCCTTAAGTCAGCTGCTGTGAGGATCCGCTGACATTTTACTGTCCTGCCATTCATATTGCTGTGATCCTTCAGCAGCTCTTTTTTTTGCTGGCCTAAACTATGGAGATGAAGAGGGCTTTTGTTTTGTTTGAAACAGCCAATACCTGCAAGAAGAAAGTCGAGAAAAGAGAAAGATGGAGCTGCCTTTTTCAGAATGGACTCTCCGCAGCATGGAGCCGCATGTATGCGCACACTACTTAGATTGGAAATGTGAACTGTAACTCTTAGTCTCGAAAGTCTTAATGCTTTCTAACAAGTCCAAGCCTTTAGAGAATGGCCACAAGCGGGTCGTGTTCTTGTGGTACCGCCTCAGGCTGCAGGTGGACCAAGAAAGCACTCTGGGATGAAGTCTTTAAACTGTGCCTCTCCTTGCTGGCTGACTCCTTTCTTTTCCTCAATTAGTCTGCCATGACAAGGTGAATCTGGCTTTGCCCCGATTCCGCAAGTCAAATTTCAAAATCTGTTGAGCTGGTGCCAGAGAACGTAGGCTTCTTGTTTAGAGCACAACTCTGAGCATGTGACAAAGCCAAGGGTTGAGCTGATGTTTCTCCACAAGAATAGCAAAAAGCAGTATCTAAAGGCTTGGTGTACAAAACACTGCGCAAACCTCAAGACCCCTTGCAGGGAGGAAGGCTGCTATCCCTCGTCAGCCTGCCAAGGATTTGGATTGTAACTTCCAAGTAGAGGAGGCAGAGGGGAGGGATGATGTGTGGTTCATTGGGTGTATTCCTTGTGTTCAGGCTTGGTAAAGGGTTATGCCAGTAGGTTCACGAGTGTCCGGTGGGTGTATTCGTGGTGTGGGGAACGTGCGCTGCTCCAATAATTGCTTTTCTTTTAAGCCTGAGGGAAATTCTCCATCTTCTTTGCATTCATTAGGAAATCCCCCAGCAATTTAACAACAGTGACTGTGGCATGTTCCTGTGCAAGTATGCAGATTACATCTCGCAAGACAAGCCTCTTGCTTTCACACAGGTGAGTGAAGGTTATAAACAGCTTTTGCAGAGAGACAAGAGCCGGGGAAGTTACGCAGCAGCTGTTCATCATAGCTGGGGCAGGGCCTGAGGTTTTGTTCCTCCCTCTGGTTTTGGTGCCTGGTTGCTGGCCTTGCAACTTCCAAGTGGCCTCCGCAGGGCAAAGCTGTGTTCTCCATTCTTACGTCTGGTATCTGCTTCCCAGTGGAGTCAGTGAGATCCCTCTGCGGCAGGGTGCTGCAGCCAGTGGGTTTGTGACATCATCTGTCCTCTGGACCTTTTGGAGAAATGGGTTTCCCCCTTTGCCCAGTTCAGACACCGTCTGTTTTCCAGTGAGGTGGTCTTTCAGTAAGGTGCATGTAAGCTGCTGTGTAGTCAAGTCACTCCGGTTTTGCTGGGTTGTTGTGTCACCCTGTTGGGACCTGCGTGGGTGAAAGCCATGTTGTACCCAAAGGGCGAGTGTTGGCAGCTCTCAAAAGGAGCTTCGCCTTAAAGAGTTAAGGGGTGTTTAGGCATATTTTCTGCCTCTTTCTGACGTGACATCCTATTTAAGGGATTTTTCTTTTCTTCTTTTCTTTTCAGAGTCACATGCCTTATTTCCGCAGGAGGATGGTCTGGGAAATACTACATCAAGAGCTTCTCTGATTTTTTTTTTGGGGGGAGGTGGGGTGGGGTGGGTGTGACGGGGTCTCTTCAGGGAATACCTAATGTAAACCAAAATATTTATTTATTTTGTTAATATAAATATTTTTAATTTTAATGTCATATAATAAGTTGTGTATTATCTAATATAATTAATACAATTATTTATTTTTGTTAAAATAAATACGTAACTTCTATAGAGAGCCTTACTGTAATGAAAATCTACCTGGTAATTAAATAGAGGGTGGGGGGTGTTAATAGAAAAAAAGGCAGAAGTCTCTAGCCAGGATGAGTGTCAGAGCACGAGAGCCACGCGGCTGGTTTGGAAGCCACATGTTCGTGTGCGTCTAGAAATCACCATGTCCAACTGTTTCTGTAACGGCGTAGTTACCACCGTGTAACCACCCACTCAGGTGGTGGAGGACCCAGCGAGGAGAAGTGCGCTGCTGGACCTTGTACTAACAACAAAGAAGGGCTGGTCAGAGATGTGAAAGTAGGGAGCAGCCTTGGCTGTAGTGGCCATGAGATGATGGAGTTCAGGATCCTGCATGGAAGAAGCAGGGCCACCAGTAGGATCGCAACCCTGGCCTTCAAGAGAGCTAACTTTAGCAACTTCAAAGACCTACTCGAAGGGGTCCCGTGGGCTAGGGTTCTAGAAGGTAGGGGGGCCCAAGAGAGATGGTTGCTATTCATGCAGCACTTAATCCAAGCCCAAAACCAATGCATCTCTGTGAAGAAGAAATGGAGCAAAGGAGGCAGAAGGCCTGCTTGGATGAGCAAGGAGCTTCAAGAAACACTCAAAGGGAAGAAGTTTACAACATGTGGAAAAAAGGACTGGCCACTTGGGAGGAATATAGGAACGTTGTCAGGGTATGCAGGAATGAAATGAAGAAGGCTAAGACCCACTTGGAATTAAGTCTGGCTAGGGATGTCTAAGACCACAAGAAGGGCTTCTTCAAATACATCAGTAGCAAAAGGAAGACCAGGGAAAATGTGGGCCCCGTGCTGAATGAGGGGGATGTCCTTGTGACAGAGGATATGGAGAAGGCAAAGTTACTGAATGCCTTCTTTGTCTCAGTCTTTACTGCTATGGCTGATCCTCAGAAATCACAGACTCTGGAGGTAGGGGAGGAAGTCTGCAGGAAGGAAGACTGCCCCTTGCTCAAGGAGGACTCGATTATGGATCTTTTAGGCCAACTAGACACTCACAAATCGATGGGCCCTGATGGGATGCACCCGCGAGCGCTGAGGGAGCTGGCAAATGTTATTGTCAAGCCACTCTTCACCGTCTCTGACAGGTCACGGAGGACGGGAGAGGTGCCTGAGGACGGGAGGAAAGCCAATGTCACTCCAGTCCTCAAAAAGGGCAAGATGGAGGATCCAGGAAACTACAGATCAGTCAGCCTCACCTCCATTCCTGGAAAGGTGATGGAACAGCTCATTCTGGCTGTTATCTCTAAGCATGTGGAGGAAAAGAAGATTATCAGGAGTAGTCAGCATGGATTCACCAAGGGGAAATCGTGCCTGACCAACCTGATAGCCTTCTATGATGGCACGACTGGCTGGGTGGACAAGGGGAAAGCAGTGGATGTTATGGGACAGACGAGTGGACATTGAGGTGGGTTGAGAACTGGGTGAAGGACAGAGCTCAGAGAGTTGTGATCAGTGGTGCTGAGTCTAGTTGGAGGCCTGTGGCTAGAGGTGTTCCCCAGGGATCAGTACGGGGTCCGATCTTACTCAACATATTCATCAACGACCTGGATGAAGGGACAGAGTGCACCCTCAGCAAGTTTGCTGATGATACTAAACTGGGAGGAGTGGCTGACACGCCAGAAGGCTGTGCTGCCAATTCAGCGAGACCTGGACAGGCCGAAGAGCTGGGCAGAGAGGGAGCTAATGAGGTTCAATAAGAGTAAGTGTAGGGCCCTGCACCTGGGGAGGAATAACCCCACGCACCAGTACAGGCTGGAGGTCGACCTGCTGGAGAGCAGCTCTGT